CTCAAGTCTATCCGATCCTTCTTTTCCAGGCCCGCTTGTAAAATCGTGCGCCTGAAACGAAGTAAGCAACTGTAATAAAAACATATAACTTCTTCAGAACAACCGGTTTGGTCAGAATTTTAATCAGTTTCTATTTCATCATGCACAACTGAATCACATTATGGCCGTCTAGTTCTCCCATAAAAAGTTATTTATTTATTTATTTATTTACGTCACGCGTCGAACCTTTCATAAAGCTTACACTAACACAAAGAATGCAGAGTTTGTGGCTGCTTGTAATTTTTGTTTTTAAAATAAGCTGTACTCGACAGCGTTAATCAAAACTAAGGCATAAAAGAGCAAACAGTTCTGAACTGTTTGAGTGTTGTGAAAATGCTGGTGCTTGCAAAAACAAAACAAAAAAAACCGTTCTTCTGGAGGGCTACTAATATTCTGTGACCAATGAAGATGCACACTGAAAATACAAAGGAAGCGGGGCCAACGCACTTCAGAGCACGTCGAGGACGGAAGTGGATGCAAACAGTCCGGAAGGCATGGATGCAACTGTCTTCAGCTTTTCAGTGTTCATTGGCTCTCATTTTCATTCTCCCTTGTTCAGCGATATATAGTCTCGTGTAACGTGCCCAACCAGTATTCTTCTCTGAAGCGAAAACATGTGTAAATTAGTTCTTTTTCCCACGTGCGCAGAGTGCGATGATGAAACATTGTGGGCACGTACCTCCTCTACGAGTATATACGCCTGCATCTGGATCAGGCAGGCGCCCATCTGTCATGAGCCGCGCAAGAAGTGTTCCGCCGTCTTTCTCCCTTCATTTGAAAGCCTCGAGAGAAGTTCTTTGTTTCCCTTAAGTCCTTACGACCAGGTACTGACTCCTTGCTTCGTGCTAAGATTCTCAGAGCCAGCTTCAGACACAAACGCGCAGAAAATAGGATTTCCGCAACAATTTGTAATAGTTGTACTTGCATTCTGTGTGTGTGGGGGGGGGGGGGGAGGCTGTGTGGGCGCGTGCGCGCGTGCGCGCGCGTGTGTGTGTCGGCGTGTGTGCGTGCGTGCGTGCAAATCTACTTTGTCGCACTATAACGTCTAGGAGCTCAAAGAGCGATCATCATGTAGAAATGTGTGACTCAAGCATTTTTCTTGCTCCTCACTGGTTCCCGTGTGGTGTTACCTTTTAGTTTAGGAGCTACCTTATAGAACAAGAGAAAGAAGGGAGATGTGTCCATGTTTCTCAAGCTCTCGGTAGCCCTCCCGTGTTCGTTCGCAAGGTTGTCGCCACCTGTTCTTCCTCTGTGGTCTGTGGTTTCTCTCTCGACAACGAAGAGGTGCCCGTTCTATAGTTCTTTTCGTAGTTATTTTTCTTCCTCCAAATGAAGAAAGTGCTCTTGATGTGGCTTCTCCTCAATGTAAGCGAGTTTCGCTCGTTTCGGAGGACGCTCGCGGACGTGGCTCGAAGACCAAGCTTGGTCATTTTCTCCCACCGCGCTGCACAACCTCGTTATCGCTTCTTCTACTACGCTGCACCTTCGGACGCGTCGTGTCTGTTTGCAAACGTCATTTCAGGTTTCGGAGTTGATGGCAGTTACTCTGCAGGGTGGCATCCTCCGCTACTCGTCGCCCACTTGCCCCCTGCCGGGAATGACTTTTTCCAGCCGCTGTAAGTTTCTGTTTTGGAAGATCCGCAATGCACTTCGTAGTTTTCCTCGTTCCCTTGCCAAGGTTGAAAACCAAGCGTTGAGTGAAGCTTGCCGACATTCAGATTTCTTAAGCAACTTGTGCGTGGTCGTTTTACTCAGAACTTGCGAGAAAATGGAAATGAGTCTTTATGCAAAAGGCGAATTGAATCACTGAATAAGTCTTCCAAAACATGAAAAAGGAACGTTAACTGTTATTCACTATATCTTACAAAACAGCAGCTCTCTTAAGGTAATGTAGAAAATTAAAACCTGGAGAGCACATTTAGACATGTAAGTTCCAAGACCGCTCAACATAATGCCGAAACAAGTGAACAGACACACAAATAAATAAACTAAATGGCTACGGATATTGAGCGATGTTTTTTTTTTTCGCCATTGCTTCTTCGAATGAGCCTCTATGTGAATCATGTTGTGGGGTGGTACTTCTTGGAGCACTACTTATTGTTGCTTCGCTTCTTGCATCCTCATTTCGTTAACGTTGCAAACTGCGGTAACTATCTGCGCGTTCTGGTCGGAGTTTGTTTGCCTTAATCTCCGAAGTGACGTTCTCTGAAAGTTTACTTCGCTTTCGTTACCACAAAACGCTTTTTAAGGAAGAGTCAAGAAAGGTTTATGCACTAGAGCCGTTACAGTCGAGATTAGTCGTGTGTCGTAGATGCCGAAGTATTATCGTCATAAATCGGCACACGCTCAGCGACTGCCCGAGCATTCTGTACACATGCGAAACAAGAGAGGCTGAGATATGCCCACCGGCTCGGCGGGGGCCCCGGCTTTGCAGAATTTAGTGCAGGCTGATATGATTGATATGTGGGGTTTAACGTCCCAATTTAGTGCAGGCTGCAATAATTTCCTCTTTTTTTTATGCGAAGCAGTTGTTCGTCTGGTCAGACTAATTTTTTTTTCCTTCAAAAATATCAAATGTCATTAAATATTCTTAATCCTAGTAAAAATACCCCTCTCTTTGTTATTGGGCTGAAATTGATCTTTCATATCTAAGTTAAGTGACTGCTATCAAGATAACAAAGGTTCTTGCTTCGTCCCCCACCGGCATTAAATTTTGTCCATTTCTATTTTCCTGTAGTGTATGAAATTGTGCATTTCAGTTATATCTCCAAATACCTACACCTGTCCAGTCCATAACTTCATTATCAGTAGGATTTCACATGATGAGGAGGTGGGAACGACAAACGTCTGTACCACGCAATCCTTCCTAGCGCTGCACTGCAAGCGCCCTTTAAAGCCCACCATTCACGACTGGCCGGTCCCTGATGATGACGTAGGCGGAGTGTCCCTGGAACCCCTGACGATGTTATCACATTTCTATGGCTTTAAAATGTTATCAGCAAATTAACCCAGCAATAACGTTTAAGAACCCGCCGCGGTGGTCTAGTGGCTGAGGTACTCGGCTGCTGACCCGCAGGTCGCGGGATTGAATCCCGGCTGCGGCGGCTGCATTTTCGATGGAGGCGGAAATGTTGTAGGCCCGTGTGCTCAGATTTGGGTGCAGGTATAAGAACCCCAGGTGGTCGAAATTTCCGGAGCCCTCCACTACGGCGTCTCTGATAATGATATGGTGGTTTTGGGACGTTAAACCTCACATATCAATCAATCAATCAATCAATCAATCAATCAATCAATCAATAACGTTTAGGAAATCATTTCACACAATGGCCATGTGTGGTAACTACGCTGCCACTTAAACGTTGAAAAACTGATGAGAGGGAAACTCAGTTGTCAAAGACAGCTGATGCAGCGTGTGTGCGAATATTTCCCACTGTTTGGTAAATTTTTAGCTGTAACAATTTTTATTGCATTCCACGAGCGTTAAGAGTAAAAATTGGGCTGTTAAATTGAATAAAAATTTTATCTGGAAACCGAATGATGTGCTTATGTGCTCTTTTTTTTTCAAGGTAGTGACTTTCTGAAGATGCTGATCCGCTTCGGGGAAGCCATTCATATGTTATTTCATTATATCGAATTTGTCATATGGTTTATTGCTTGAAAGCTTTTACAGTCGATTGAAGTTGCGAATTGCTCAAACGTCAACGGGAAACGGTGACGTGTGAATGCCGTTACGCATTGAATACGATGCGTGTATTTTGTTACTCGCATTTTGCTGCAAGTCCACGTTTGCGAATGTGTGGGTGGCGTTTTCTATGCGTTCCTATTAAAACATTTCTGCGCCGCTGAGTTGGCGTGCATGATGGCGGGACTACGCTCGCTCAACGCGGCTGAGCCGCCTTATTTTTTCTTCTTCTGAATAAGGATTAAAAAAATGGGTGAGTTGGATTACGTTCATGGTCAACGCCTCAAAAAATACATGGACAAAGAGGTGGCCAGACGACGCGAGTGCTGCCTTTCATCTGAATTTTTTTTTACTCTAAAGCACGTGAAAAATTTTGAACCAGCGGTCATAAAACCAAGACCTTTCAGTGGCCCTCGTGCAATAAGACGTCTCGAAGGCGTAAACCAGCTTCTTGTTAGCCGATGTTTACTGATACTGCACCGCCACCCTCCGAAAACTTTCTGCACCTAAAGTGGTCTGCCATTGCCTCCAAGATCAGAGTAATTGGCAGTTTTCCGCACCGTTTCACACTGCATCCGTGATCGACCCATATTTGACTGAACGACCATGTAATGTGATGACGTCACCATGTGAGGCCACGTTGTTGACGTCACGATGACGACGCAATTTTCGGTGGTCTGTGACGTGACACGATTAATTCGTGACGAGATGTCCCTTTTCATCACTCGTGTTGACGAAGCCGACGTTCAATACTCGCTCAAGATAAATAAGACTTTCGCCTTAAAGCGACGGCGGATTCGAGACAGGACAGCGCTGAACTTATACGTCAGTATGAAAAACAAACTACTTGTCAGTGAGCCACATCAAAGGCTGGGATATGCGCAGCTGCGCATGCTTTCTGGTAAAAGTTCGCGCACGCTTTTATTTATTTATTTATTTATTTATTTATTTATTTATTTATTTACAGTACCTCAAAGGCCCCAATGAAGGGGTTTTACATGAGGGGTGGGCTATTAGAATCGGTTAAAGGAGTAGATGCTCGATCGCTGCTTTGAAGTTGATGATACTGGAGTGGTGCTGGATACTGGTGCTGGATACTGGAGCTGGATACTGGAGTGCTGGATACTGGGGTGGTGCTGGATACTGGATACTGGATACTGGAGTTCAAAGCAGCTCTCGTATCGTCTGGTTTCCTTTTTGTGCGTGTCATTTTGAGCTGTACACCATGAATCCGTTTCTCTTGGCTGCAGCTTGGCTTTGTTGTTCCGCCCAGATGACCAGCAGTGCCGATCACATCGAGGAGGGACCCCTTTCTCCTCCGCTCCTCGGATGATCCGTTTGAAACGGTACTCGACAAATCACTCTGCTGCTGCTGCTGCCTGAAGAGCATGGCTTTCTCGCATTTTTCTCATTACCGCTTTTTCAAAAACTGCATCTTGCGAAATGATTCCTTTGTGATTGTGCTGCTTGCTTGGCTGCTTCTGACTCACTTGGGCCTCAAGTTCGTTCGAGTTTGCCGAAATTTCGCGAATTTCTGTTCTCCTATTTAGATAATAAAAATAACCCGTACTTAAGACATACGTATAAGCATTCTGAAGCGAAATTGTAGGAATGTGTCTTATGAGTACATCGCTCGGCTTACAGACAATATCGAAATTGTCGCTTAAGTCGACGGGTATTAGGGCTCAGCCGAAGCGAGCGGAATTCAGCAAGGGATGAAATGGCGTGCAAGTCGGGTTCTGAAGAACGAAGATAAACACTGGAAGTCAGAAACTGTTGATCGTAAAAGAACTTACAATTTACGACGCCCAACTCTCTGATATTTCAGGGTTGACGTACTCCTTGATGTTCACCACCATGCACCTCATAAGGCAAAGTATGCCATAAAGACGGCGCATTTTTATTATTTTTTTTAATGATGTTGCAGTAATTCCAGTAAGGCTGCTCGACGAAACAACATTCGTGTATCGGTCTTACCATGTCGAATGCAAGCGCTACAAACGGTAGACCTCGTAGTCGAAAATACTGCAAAAAATGAAATCTAAGTTTTAATGATGACAGTAGCCAAATGCCACTACAAGAGCGCAATATGCGGTGATGTGTTCGAGCAACCGAACAACGGAAATCGCCGTGTGAATTTAATGCGCCGCATCTAAACGCGGGGGCGAGCTTCGGCACATACAGTTCAATAACTTCCACGTATTGTTCGTCTTCAAAGACAAAGACTGGGACTGAATGAGCCCGGTTATATATATATACATATATATATATATATATATATATATATATATATATATATATATATATATATATATATACATATATATATATATATATATATATATGTGTGTGTGTGTGTGTGTGTGTGTGTGTGTGTGTGTGTGTGTCTTTTCTGACTGGCCCCATATATGGGCCATCCTCCATGTCGGCGTGCCACGGGCTATTATGACGACTCGTCGTATTTCGTACTGCCGAGTATCCAGGCTCTTTGAATATATTCATGAGAAAAACGTACCGTGAACGAATCGGCTCGCATTCAGAGCGGTGGCTCTTGCTGGTTCTCATATGGCGTCGCGCTCGTCAAAGCCGACGTATTTCGGGTACAGTACGCTTTGCTTTGCTATGTGGATGATTGATATGCTCATTTGCATGCAGGCGGGACTAATCGTCTTGCAGGGCTTGCTCGTGTAGCTCGTTGCAGAAATCGCTAGCGAAACACTTGCGTAGTGAAGAGAGAGAGGGGAAAAAAAGGAGTAATATTAAAGAAACATGGAGCCTCGTATTAGTGGGTAAGCGCAACTCTTTCGCCTTCTTCTGCTTACACTGTCACCGCCAGTCCCCGTGTGCGATGCACAGGAATCAATTAAGTTATGAGATACGGAAACCTTTTTTTTTTTGTTCCTGTATTATGGCTTGCCTTTTGTAACAGCTGTGTTGTTCGGTTTAGCGTTCTATATAATGTTCGAGTGCAGCGTATCTAGCAATATCGCAACAAAAGTGAGAACCGTTTTGACTTAGTATAGAACTCGACTGAACAAAATACCAAAACAAAAAAACGTTTTGATAGTATGCATGTCACTTGTGCACTGCCGTTCGATAGCAATTAAGTTTTTTGTTTGTTTGTTTTAGGAGTGTTAACTTGACAACAAGAAGATGAGGACAAATCTGTCTACGATTGGCTTATTATATAGTGTGCTTATAAGTATTAGCCGTGGCACCATACTGAATCACGTAAACGATGTTACCCCCTCCCCACCAACAGAACAAGTATGCTGTTCATACGAAATTGATGCTGCCAGTGGGCCTTGATTGCGATCGTTAGAACAAAATATTCCACGGGTGACATTTTTCCCGGAATGTGAAGCTAAGTATGTCTTCTGACAGCGGATCATCTACGAACCACAACCGTCATAATACCCAGACATACGCAATGAGCACTATCAGCACCATTATGGACTAATGTCATGCAGTTTTCTCGTACGATAGTATATGGGCAGTCATATCAACATACGGTATTGCAGGCAAACGACCATTGAAAAGAAAAAAACTGAGAAATGTTAATTATTCAGTGCTCTTTCTTTGGTGTATTTTTTGCGGTTTCTGTGTAAAAAAAGAAAACAGTAGAGTTTTTAACTACCAGATCTTAACTAACCAGATACGCACGTGCCGGCTGGATTGATTGTTTGCATATTTTCTTTTCTATGCTCCCACGCGTACGTCATTCTGCGGTATTTGCTCGGCGGAGTTTCGAGGTCAGAGCACGCGCATGCGTAAAGGACTGACCCCACGTAGCCGTCGCAGCGCGTCGGCGCGTGTCTTTTTGCCGCGGCGTTGAGCCCTCTCCCATAAAGAAAGAGAGAGCACGTGGCTTCGCGTATCTACGTGCCCACTCTCTCTCTTTCTCTCTCTCTCTCTGAAGGGAGTAGGCGCGGCGCTTCGTCGAAAAGCCACGCGCCGACGCGCTCCGACGGATGCGTGGGGTCAGTCCTTTACGCATGCGCGTGCTCTGACCTCGAAACTCCGCCGAGCAAATACCGCAGAACAACGTACACGTGGGAGCACAGAAACCAAAAATGCAAAGAATCAATCCACGCGGCACGTCGGTATCTGGTTAGTTAAGATCTGGTAGTTAAAGATCTGGCAGTCACCAACAATGAACTTTTATAGCACGCAAAGCGTAAAACGCACGACTAATCCACAAACCGTTAGTTTGGATTCGAAAGCATGCTAATTTCATTCACTGCTTTCACTGTTATGAACGTTGCCGGAATAGTTTGTCATTGCTACTGTACTTGCTTTCTTGCAATACAATAGCAAGCCTCTCGCTGCCTTGCAAATAATTAAATAAACACGCACGAAATCGGACTCGTCGAAGCACGGCAAGGCATATACACACTGTCGGGCAATAAAAACTGTGCAGCGTGTCTGAAACTGTTGCTAGCAAATCGGCAGATAGATTTGCAAGTCTTTGCACGTAAAAAGTGGGATACTGGCTGAGTACGGTGCCTCTTATGCCGCTGCCCATTTCGGATGGACCCTATCGACCAAGCTGTTGCTACAGGGATCAGATTGATCCGTGAGCCACGCGAATCGACTAGCCTACTCTCGCGCTAGCTTCAACAGCGATGCGCGCTTTTAGTGCGGTCATGTGCGTACTTCGTTAAGCCAGCAGTCGCCGGGAGTCTCGCAAATACGGCGCCGAGTCCGCAATCGCCGCTGACCGAATGGTAGTAGGAAAGCCGGTCAGCTATACTGTGGCACAAGGCGGGCCAGCTATAACAACCTCCGAGACACACAAACGTCTGCTGTAATCCCCGGATGTGGGTGTCCTCCTAACTTGTATGTACGAGTACAGAGCACTGCTCGCACCCGACGCGCCAAATACCCTTCAACGGAGGCGAGGAAGCGCGCGCAGTTTAGCTATCTTGCGTATACGTGCGGATCTTCCCTCTCTCTACAACAGCCGTCTTCCGCGCTATTGGCCGCCGGAGCCGCACACTTCGCAATCTAGTTCCCGGGGGCGAATTTCCGCTGTTAGTCTCTTGCTTCTGCAACTACGACTGCAGGGGCGGTCGGTCGGGCGAGCTGGCTTACCGTTTGCGGCGCCGACTTCGATTCGTCTTCATTTGTGGCTCATTCGCCGGCGGAGTCGAATTACTTGCGCCAGTGTCGCGCTTCCACGGCACTTTATCGTTGGGCGAAACAATGTGACCCGGCGAACCCTGGGCGACACTGAAAGTTGGCCTTCGCTGTGAATATATATATATATATATATATATATATATATATATATATATATATATATATATATATATATAACAATTGAAAGAAGGTGATGTTTTTCTTTTTATTAAGCGTAAGTAAGCAGACAGCGTTTCGTTGAAATGTCATCCGCACTTTTTTTTTACCCTCCGTGCAATAACGAAGGGGACACTCTTGGAAGCAAAACGTTGCAATGATGCTCGATAGTTCCTGCGAGTAGGTCGCATTTCACGACAACATATTTGCCTCTGCACAATCTGTCATCGCAAGTCGAAGCACCATGTTTACATGTCCAATTAAGTCGAATGTGACCACTCCAGCAAATTAAAAAAAAGGGGAAAATACCGCAAAATAACTCTCACAACAAGCCATACATTCAGGCTTGAAAGGCAGAAAGACACATATAATTTACCTGTGGTATTATGGGAAGTTTATTAGAAAAGATGTGGCATGAGCACTGACGCTTATAGGCGCTTTAATGTTTAAAGTTCGTTAGTACTCATAATAATGCATCATGTCTAATAACTTACTGTGATTCTCGTTTTTAGTAATCACAATCTAGGTGTATTTTTGTATGTAGTGCACATGCACTTACGTACGTGTCCCTCCATACGCATGTGCGCTTTTAAACCTGCACTGCTTTTGGTACCATTTATATAGCTGCTATACTGAGGAATGTCCTCTGCCTGTCGCTCACCATCTCTCGCCCTAATGCTTGGTCCGAAATGCGCGCATAAGTTGCATTTTCATTCATGAACACTTTCCGCTTTTTTCTTTTCTTCCGCTACGCACGCGCGCGGCTTCCGAGATGCGCAACTTGGCCACTTATCAGGCATGCCGCATGTGCGTGACTGATAGGTCGCACTCGCAAAAGCGTCTTACGCTAGCATCGATCGGAAGATAACAATATCTGGGGTTCTGGTTATGAGAGGCGCTGTAGTGGAGGGCTCCGGAAATTTCGACCATTTGGTGTTTTTTAACATGCACTGACATGCATGGTACACATGGGCCTCCACCATTTCTCGTCCATCAAAAAGCTTCCGCCAAGGCCGGAATCGAACCCGTGACCTACTGGTTAGCAGCC